AATCTTCCCAAAGAAACAAACTGGAACAGAATCAGAATAGTCCGGACCGGAACCAACATCACCAGCTGTGATTTCACCTGCTATGCCGCACCCATAACAGTCCCCAAAGATGTGTCTATTCAGGTAGGTGGAGATTCCAGACCCCATTCCCTCTCCTTTCAAATAAATCCGATGGAATCCTTTGCAGCCTGTCTCTTGCAGCCTTGCACACCATTAAATTTGTTGAAAATAATCAATAACCAGGCAGGAAGCCCAGTGAGCCCTCAGATTCTTTTGTGTCCCTCCCCACCAAAACCCCACTCCCCCATGTCCCGCCACTGCCAACACCCTCCTGCCATGGGAACAAGTGGGGGACAGACCTCTCGACCTTGCCCTCCCTGGCCCCCAGACCGTGGTCCACTGAGGCCTCTGCTTCTGAGCCCTGGCCGGGGTGTGGGCAACCCAGTTGCTTTTCAGGTCCCTGTCCCCTTCTAAAGAGCCCAGCAAACTACAACAGGGAGAACGGCTGAGTCTGAGGGGGAGGGAGGACTAAAGGTGGCAGGCACTGGGAATGGCACTCTGACCTGCCCAGGGACTTCCAGGTCACTCATAGAAGGACACCAAGCAAGGCATAGGTGCTGGGATCTGAATTCCCATGGTGACCCTGAGATTTGCGTCTTTAAAGCACTGTGGTTTGCTGGAGATACTCATAGAGACTGACATACCTTTGTACCTGTTAGGGCATCTTAAAGGGAAGGACTTCACCAGGCTCACAAAGAAGATTCTCTCTGCAGACCACCCTCTGCCAGCCAGACCACGCCCAAGACGGCGCGCGGGGGGCGGGGGGTGTTTTCAGGGACATCAGGGCCCCAAACAAAGAGGTGACGGTGGGAAGCTGAGGAAGAGGTGTGGGAGTGAGTCTGCTCTCAGCCGAGGATCCGGAGGTGGCCAGCTGCAGGCTGTGTGGAGTGCTGATTTTTTAAAGTCAACCAGGCAAAAAACATTTCCAGATTAAAAAAAAAAAAAAGAGGAAGGCAGGGAAAGTAGGGGTCCCAGCAGTAGGGCGCTTGTCCACGCACAAACAACAGTTGGGAATATTTGCTCCTGTTCAGGGGCCTTTAGGGGACCTGAGCTGTAACGTTACGTACACTTGAACCAACCATCCAAAAGTGACAGTAATTCAGACACTTGGTGTCCCCAGACTGGGTGCCCATCGCCCACTCCCTTCCAGGGAACCCCTCGTGCGGGGTGACCCTGGCATAACTGGCACACGGAAAGCACCGCTAGGGAGGGGCAGGGGGAGCCCAGACTGCAGGAGGGAGAGCCCCAGGCACTGCCTTAAAGCGGCCGGTTCCCCACCAGCTGAAGCCCTCTGAACTGATCCGGATCACCTTTGCAGAAAACGCTTCCAAGGCTGACATCTTTGGCGGGGGGCAGGGAAGAAGCCCTAACTTTCACCCCAAGCAAACTCATCCTTGGGCTAGGAGCCCCTAATGTAACAACAGATTTTGACACTGTCTCCACTTTTTCCGATAAGAAAAATCGAGGTCCTTAATTAGCCAACTCAAGAGGACCTCCTCGCCGGCCCGCACTCCATCCATCCCCAACCCCAAACAGCCGGAGACAGCGAAAAACAGCGATCACCAACAGCTCTGAGCCGGCGCCTCGGCGCCCACTTGGACCAGGAGTGGACGTTGGCTGCCACCACTGGGGAAATTGAGCCGGGCGCCGGGCCGGACGCTGCAAGAGGGGGGCGAGGGAACCCTAAATCTCGCTAGGTGCCCCAGCCCAGTCCCCTGGAAGATTCCCTCCCTGCGCCGCATCTCCTCTTGCAGCTGCCTGAGCCTGACGCGGCCCGTTCGAGGCGCCCTCCGCCATCTGCCCTTGCCCCTAGCTCTCCCTGTCCGCTGCCCAATGCTAGAACCTGGCGTGTCCGCATCTCGCCAGAACTTCCAGCCTCGGTTTCCCGATCTGTAACCTGGACGTAGAGAGCGGGTTCCCTTCCCTAGGACTTTCAAATTCTCTCCTCCGGAACTACTGGGGTTTTCCCAGGTCCGAGTTAGTCACCCCTTCGAACCGAACCCCGGAATGAGGAGGGATCGGGTTGGGGTGGGAGATTTCGCTGGGACCAGCACAGGGATGTTTTTGTAAAGATCAGGACTGACCCACTCGCAAATCGACGGTGCCCACGAGGGACGAGGCCTGATCCTGGCCCCGCCAGGCTGTCTTGGCGCCCAGCGGTGCGGTGGCCTGGGTCCCCTGCCCCACTGGTCCGCGCAAAACATGCACCTTACATGGCTCTTTCCTGGCGAGGACCCTGTACAGAGGTGCACACACACCAAGTCCCCCAACCCAGGCTGTCCAGAGGTGGACAAGCTCAGGGAGGGAAGTGGGGAACACAACTTGGAGGGGGAGAAAAAAAAACCCTGCAGAGAGGAATTGCACCAGCAAAGCCGGCAGCCCCTAACCCCCGCCCTGCGCCCCTAGCCCGCGCCCCGCGGCCACCAGTTTCCCTTGCGCAGTTTCTGGGAGTTAGGGACAGTTTCTGGGCTTTTGCCGCCCCCTCTGGATGCAGCTGGACATTACAATCTGTTTCCCACTGTTTACTCCCAAGTTCTCAAAGCGACACAAGAGGACACATGGCTCGCGTCAAATTCGCAGAAAACGTAGCAGGCACCGCAGATGGTGTCTGTAAAAAAACGACAGAATGCCTCCCTCACCACGTGGCTTCCTTCAAGGTGTATTTACCTATGCGCCTGCATACCTTTTAAGCCATACTGAGCAGAACAGTCCAGCGGATCTGGAGGTGGCGGTTACCAACTAGCCTCCACTACCCTGGAGCCGATAAACAGGAGCATTGCGATCAAAGACAGCTCAGGGCAGGTGGCCTGGGTGGAACACCCCGCCGCTGCTCTCCTCCGCATCAGGTGCCTCTAAACCACACCACAACGCACAGCAATGTCCCCTCCCCGAGGACACAGATCTGCAGTGTCCACCTTACCCGAGGCTCTCTTCCGTCCAGGCGGACACGGAGTTTTTCGGGCACATTTGGAGTAACCAGCAGGCTGCGGCAAGGAGGTCTCTGACCCGGTGAACATGCTATAGGGTAGTAGAGACATCCAATGCCAGTTACATTCGTTTAGAATCGTTTTTTTTTTTTTAATTCTTTTAAGCAAGGCTGTACATTATTACCTTTCCCTCTAAAAAATGTTGTCCTCTTCTTAAGAAAACGAGATTGTTTAAAATCCTCTAAGAAAAACCTCTTGTAATGGTGCCTGTGCGTCCCAGAGAGGGCGGGGGGCACCAAGTCTGATTACTCGGTGGGCCAACTGATAATCATTTAATGGAAGGCGAACTTTTGCAAAAGCGTCAAACACGAATGGGGAACTTAAAATTAAGTTTTTCCATGCTGTGCGGGTATTTGTGTTTCTTCAGGTATGCAGCCCAAAAGCGACCAACACTTTTCTTTTTCCTTTCGCTCTCAAAGATAAGTCTGCACTGAATCCAACCTGGCTGGCTCTGGGTGGTTCCTGCACTTGCAGATCTCGTCTGAAATGCACCACGACACCTCGGCTGCTACCCCCTCGCACCCCGCCGCCCAGCACTCCCGGCCGCACGCGGGTGTGCAAAAGACTGGCTGAAGTCGAAACCCACGGCGCCTCGCCTTTCCAGGTGCTCTGCAAAGCGGGAGCGCCGTCCGCGGCAGGGCGCATCCGTGTGGCCTTGTGTAGCCCAGGGACCGGCCTCGGCCACGCGGGCCCAGGACTGACGCCTTTGCAAAGGTCCATCTCCCAAAGCCAGCGCAGCTGACGAACTTTGCAAGGGGTAGCTCCGCCGCCGCCGCTTTACTGATTCGGCCGGTAGGCGACGAGCAGAGCGTGCCCGGGTTCTGGGAGCGTCGGGGCGGGGAGCAGGACCGGGAGGATGGGCGCGGGGGGTCGACGAGGGGACCCGGGAAAGATTTGTTGGGATTCAAAGTCGGGGAGGTGGCGCGGGGCGGCCCCGGGAGCTCGAGACAACCGCGTCCCGGTCGCTGCGGCCACTGCCCGCCTCGGCCGGGACCGCGGCTTTGGTTTTCATTGATTCGGGCTCAGCAGAAAGCTCGACCAGCCGCGCCGGCCCCGGCGAACCGGAGCATGTTAATCTATTTCTACGGATTATTATCGAAGAGCAGCGGGCGTTGAGTCACCAAAACGTTTGCTTCCAAAAAGCCATTTCTAAACACTTTTGGAGGCGGGCACTAGGCGCGCAAACCCGGCCACGCATTAACGACCGGCGGCTTTTCCAATCCTGCAAAGTCCAGCAGAAGTCCCCGGGACATCGGGGAGCAAGAAAGCAAGGAAAAGGACTGAGGGGGGAGGGAGTTGATGGGAGGCGGCGGGACAAGACGCGGGGGTGGGGGTAGCTCTACTCTATACACACGCGCCAGCGCGCACGCACACTCACAGTGGCATACACGCAAAAAAAATATCCGCGTGGAGACGGTACCAACATTCTGACATTCCGAGAGTACGGCACACTCACACACTTGGACGTCCCGGGACCCCACAGCTCCCCCCGCTCCCCCCACCCCCCGCTCCGCGCCCCCCAAACACACCCCCGCCCCGCGCCCAACCACCCCTGGGCTGCGCTCCCCTCCCCTCGCGTCTCGTCACCCAGCCCAGGGCCACCGTCTTCCTCCTCCCTCCCAAAATCCGGCCCAATCAGCTGCCTGCCAACCCCGGGACTGCCGCGCCGTGATTGGCCCGGCGTCCCTAAGGTGAGGGGGTAGTATTTATTAAAGCGACCCCGGGCTGGGAGTTGGAGAGCCGACAGCGGAGCTCGAAACCGACTGGAAACTCCGGCGACGCAGCGACTTGCCAAGTTCACCCCGGGAGCTTTTTCTTTGTAGGAGGAGAAGAGAAGGGGTGCAAGCGCCCCCGCTTTGGCGCTGTCTTCCTCTCCTCCTCCTCCTCCTCTCCACCTCGCCTTACCCTCCAACCCCCCATCTCGGAGCGGGCAGCTTGCGGACTGACCACTCCGTGACTGCCCGGGTGCTCGCCGCCGCCGCAGCCGGGAGACGCGCCAGCCTCCCCCGCGGGAGCCGCTCGCTCCGCGTCCGGGCATCCGAAGGGAGAGGAGCCTGCGCCTCGAGTCCCCGAGCCGCCTCGGCTTCTCGCCTTTGCCGGCCACCCGCCCCCGGCTCCGGGCCCGCGTATGAATCTCCTGGACCCCTTCATGAAGATGACCGACGAGCAGGAGAAGGGCCTGTCCGGCGCCCCCAGCCCCACCATGTCCGAGGACTCGGCGGGCTCGCCCTGCCCGTCGGGCTCCGGCTCTGACACTGAGAACACCCGGCCCCAGGAGAACACGTTCCCCAAGGGGGAGCCGGACCTCAAGAAGGAGAGCGAGGAGGACAAGTTCCCCGTGTGCATCCGCGAGGCCGTCAGCCAGGTGCTCAAGGGCTACGACTGGACGCTCGTGCCCATGCCGGTGCGCGTCAACGGCTCCAGCAAGAACAAGCCGCATGTCAAGCGGCCCATGAACGCCTTCATGGTGTGGGCGCAGGCGGCGCGCAGGAAGCTCGCCGACCAGTACCCGCACCTGCACAACGCCGAACTCAGCAAGACGCTGGGCAAGCTCTGGAGGTAGGACCCGGAGTGTATGAAATGGGGGTGGGGGGCGCGGCGCGGCGAGGTGGGCTGCACGGCGGCAGCGGGGGGGGGGAGGGTGTTGCGCGCTGGCCAGGGCCACCTCTGCCCGCCCAGCCGCCCAGCGCCCGGGAACTGGAGTGCGGGGAGCGGCCGGGGCGGGGGGCGAGGTGGAACTTTGGCTCGGAGTTGAACCAACTTCTTGGAGTGCAGTCATGGGAGGCGGCGCGGGGAGGGGGGCGGCCTTTGGGAAAGGTGGGGGCGGGGTGGGGGAGCTGGCGGGAGGGTGGGAGCAGACTTGAAGGAGACACCGGGGAGGGGAGGGTACCGCCTGGCTGCTCTCACGAGTCGGGGGCGGGGGGAGCGAAGCTCGCTTCTGCTACCCAGGACTTCTTGCTCCTGGGCAGCCCCACACCCACCGAGTGGGAGCGGAGGGGGGAGGCTGGTCCTGGAGGAGAAGAACTCTGCCAGGGACGGGGGTCAGAGGTTGGGGCCGCTGGACACGGATGGGTCCTGGCAGTTTGGCGGGAGTTGGGTGGGAGATTGTTACTTGCAGCTTCGGGTGGTTTGGGGAAACTTTTGCAAGGAGTGTCGGGGGTGCAGAGCGGGCTGCCTCCAGTAGCAGAGGCGTTTAAAGCCGCAGCAGCGAGGAGCTATTTCCATCTCCAGGATTTCCAAAGTAGACGGGAAGGGGAGGGGGGCGGGCAATGACCGCTGTCCAGGTCGCACTGCAAGAACTGGGTCCATTTTTTTTTCTTTCTTAAGAAAAGTTACAAACTGCTGCAGAGACTGGGAAACGGGGACCAGGCAGAATGGGAGGGGTGCTGTGCGCGAGGGGAGCCCAGCGACCGGGGTCCCCCCACCTTGCCCTTGTCCCCGGCGGCCTGACAGCTGGACTTTTTCACTGACCCCTCCCCTCTTTTTCTCTGCGCCCCCCCCCACCCTTCACCCCCGCAGACTGCTGAATGAGAGCGAGAAGCGGCCCTTCGTGGAGGAGGCGGAGCGGCTGCGCGTGCAGCACAAGAAAGACCACCCGGATTACAAGTACCAGCCAAGGCGGAGGAAGTCGGTTAAGAACGGGCAGGCAGAGGCCGAGGAGGCCACGGAGCAGACACACATCTCGCCCAACGCCATCTTCAAGGCGCTGCAGGCGGACTCGCCGCACTCCTCCTCCGGCATGAGCGAGGTGCACTCGCCCGGCGAGCACTCGGGTGAGCGCAAGCGGGGACCCGCCTAGCTCTGCCCCAGGTCTGCGTCTGGGACCCTCTGCCCTGGTACTGGGGAGGGCGCAGTTGCCAGGGGCGCGCGGCCTCGCTCGGAAACCCGACCCCCGCCACCCCCTCGTATCCATCCAACCTCGCCAAGACGCGCGCACACTCACACACCTTGTCAGTTCAGCCCCTCAAATTTAATTTTGAATTGCGAGGTGTTACAAGACCTACGCCTCCTCTTCCTCTCTACTCCCCCTCCCCAAAAGCACACACAAACCAGTCCTAAGTAGCAGTGATGGCTTTGGGACCCGCACGGGTAGGAGGGAGGACCTCCCCAGTAGATGGAGGCTGCTGCTGTGTACCTGCGAGTTAATCATTGGGCGACTAATCAACACCTTGGCCGAGAGGGAGGGTCCTCGGGAGGGGCCCTTGGAGCAGCCTGGTTGATTTTTTTTTTTTTTTTTTTTTTTTTTTTGTCCCCTTGCTTTCTTTCCCTCTCTCCGTGCGCGCAGGGCAATCCCAGGGCCCACCGACCCCACCCACCACGCCCAAAACCGACGTGCAGCCAGGCAAAGCTGACCTGAAGCGAGAGGGGCGCCCCCTGCCAGAGGGGGGCAGGCAGCCTCCCATCGATTTCCGCGACGTGGACATCGGCGAGCTGAGCAGCGACGTCATCTCCAACATCGAGACCTTCGACGTCAACGAGTTCGACCAATACCTGCCGCCCAACGGGCACCCGGGGGTGCCGGCCACGCACGGCCAGGTCACCTACACCGGCAGCTACGGCATCAGCAGCAGCGCCGCGGCGACTCCGGGCGCGGGCGCGGGCCACGTGTGGATGTCCAAGCAGCAGGCGCCCCCGCCGCCGCCCCCGCAGCAGGCGCCCCCGCAGCCCCCGCAGCCGCAGCAGGCGCCCCCGCAGCCTCAGCAGGGGCCCCCGCCCGCGCAGCAGGCGCCTCCGCAACCGCAGCCCACGCACACGCTGACCACGCTGAGCAGCGAGCCGGGCCAGGCGCAGAGAACGCACATCAAGACGGAGCAGCTGAGCCCCAGCCACTACAGCGAGCCGCAGCACTCGCCGCAGCAGATCGCCTACAGTCCCTTCAACCTCCCGCACTACAGCCCCTCGTACCCGCCCATCACGCGCTCGCAGTTCGACTACACAGACCACCAGAACTCGGGCTCCTATTACAGCCACGCGGCGGGCCAGGGCTCCAGTCTCTTCTCCACCTTCACCTACATGAGCCCCGCGCAGCGCCCCATGTACACCCCCATCGCCGACACCTCCGGGGTGCCGTCCATCCCGCAGACGCACAGCCCGCAGCACTGGGAGCAGCCGGTGTACACACAGCTCACCAGGCCTTGAGGAGACCCCTGTGCGCAAGGCGATCCTCCAAGGAACCGAAGAAAGAAACACAGCCCCATCAGAGTTCTCTTGGACCTTGGTCTTTCTCTTTCTCTCTCTCCTCTCTCTCTGTCTCTCGTACCTTAAAGACGTTGAAACCGAAGGTGACTGGTACCCACGTTCCAAGAAACACTTAACCTGTCCAGTGGCCAGGCCGCCCTCTCCAACTCTCCCCACGGGGGAGGAGGGAGCGTGGGGAGGCAGGCTGCTTGGACCCGCCAAGTGAAGGAGAGTGGATTTGCGCAGCCTTCTGAGCAAGCGAGAAGTGGGGTGGAGAGCGCGTTGACCCCCTTGCTCCAGCTCTCTGCCTGTTTTTTGACTTTGTAATTATTTTTTAGCAGTAATTAAAGAAAGAAAAAGTCCTCTGTGAGGAATATTCTCTATTTTAAATATTTTTTAGTATGTACTGTGTATGATCCATTACCATTTTGAGGGGATTTATACATATTTTTAGATTTTAAAAAAAATTAAATACTCTTATTTTTCCAACAGCTAAACTATCCGTAGTTGAACCAGCGTGCCCTAGCTTTTCTCGCAACCAGAGTATTTTTGTACAGATTTGCTTTCTCTTACAAGAAGGAAAAAAAAAAAAAGAAAACAACAACAACAACAAAAAGCTTGTGGTCCCTTTAACCTGAAGAGACAAAAGTGATAGTTTCTGTGTTGGGGTCAGTTTGGGCGGGAGGGGGTGAGCTTTGCTGAATTCCTCAGGCTTTCCGATCCAGGGAGGAGCTGCCTTAAAAACAAATACAGGCCTTATTCTGCGAATAGGAGAGAGTCCACACTAGTCTAGACGGCTCATTTGGTAAGCTTTATCACATATATATATATATATATACATATATTTTTTTTTTTTTCAAAACGAGAGAAAAGATAACCTTGAGCCTTAAAAACCGTGCTGCTGGAAAAACGCTTGCACTCCCTGGCAGTGCGTGGTCTCCTGTCTTTGGCAAGCCAAGGAGAAAATGTGTTTTGGGGAATGCTGTAGCGGCCAGCAGAGTGCCCCGGGCACTGCCCCCTGGTTGCCTGCCGGGCCCCAGGTGGCAAGCAGATGCTGGAGCCGGCCCACTCAGCCAGTCTGTCATCGCCTGTCCTCTCTGAACACCAGCAGTTAACCTTCAAGACATTCCACGTGCTAAAATTATTTATTTTGTAAGGAGAGGTTTTAATTAGAAAAAAAAAAAATCTTCCTTTTTTTTTTTTTTGAACTTACTTTCTTTAAAATAGGTTGTTGGAACCTTCCTCATAGGGTATGGTCAACTCTTAACTTATGTTCTTAACTGTAACCAGTTTTTTTTATTTATCTCTTTAATCTTTTTTTTTTATTATTAAAAGCAAGTTTCTTAGGATTCCTCATCCTAGATTTGTACAAATGCCTTACGTCCGTCCTATCTTCTTGTTTGTTGTTTTTGTTGAAAACAAACTGGAAATTTGTTGGGTTTTTTTTTTTCTTTTTTTTTTTTTTGTACAAATGAGAGATTGCAAATGGAGTGTGTCACTGAGTCGTTTGCAGTGCTTCTCTGCCGCAGACCTTTGGGCTGCCGAAGTTGTGAGTGTGTGTGCGTGCATGTGGTGTGACACAAACAATGTTAGTGTCATCGACTCCCGCGTGCGCTCTGGCAGAGAGGGCGGCAGGGAGGGACGCGGCCCGCTGGCATCCCTGGTTTCCTAGCGACTGCTGTGACCACAGACTTGCAGGACAGCTTTTTAAAAAACAGCAGACTTTTTTTTTTATTTAAAAAAAAGATATATTAACAGTTTTAGAAGTCAGTAGAATAAAAAATGTTAAAAGCACTCTTATGATATGGCATCTTTCAATTTCTGTATAAAAGCAGATCTTTTAAAAAAAATATTTCTGTAACTTAAGAAACCTGGCATTTAAATCATATTTTGTCTACTTAGGTAAGGTTTGCTTTGTGTTTGTGGTTTGTTTGTTTCACTTATCTGCCCTCCAAACCGTTTGTTCTTCTCTGTGAAACTTACCTTTCCTTTCTTCTTCTTCTTTTTTTTTTTGTATATTATTGTTTACAATAAATATACATTGCATTAAAAGCACCCTATGGATTTATTTGCCGGGTCCCGGCCGTTGGAAGGGGATGTGATACGCACAGCACAGAAGAGATGCTTGCATTGTTGCCTCGTGCCCTGCATTCTGGGTCAGTCCTAAAACGGACACCAAAGAAAACACCTGGTCTCCCGCAAACATCTAAGCGGAGGAAACCCTGCAAAGCACGACCCCCATAGGAGTCCCCATTACCCACTCTGGTTTACACCCCCTCGAGCTGCAGGACGAAGTCAGTGGGACTATCAGGCTGGAAATGTGAGCATTGTGTTAGTAGAATGACAGAGGGGTCACCCACTTGTCTGCATGGGATGTGGCTAAGTTCCTCTTAGGAGAAACAGAATTTGAAGAAGTGAGGTGTCGGAACGCGGGGGCCAGAGTCCGTGTGCAGGGGACAGAGAGAAGCCTGTAGGTCCTGTGAGCCCACGGAAGGATTCTCTGCAGAGACCAAGCCCCACCACTGTTCCCTCCAGTTTAACTCCTTCTGAGCAGAGGCAGAAAGCATCAGCAAAGGAAGGCCTAAGCCTGTTTTCCTTGGCCTCCGTGAGATGGGGAGTTTCCAGGTTCAGAGAACCATTCAGGTCATTTTTCACTAAACAGATGAAATCACGCCTTCCCGCCCACCGCACCACTCCCACGGTGACACCGTCGGGGAAGTGTCCCTGAGGAAGTCAGCTCTGCCACCTGAGGCTGTTGGACTACCTACCCGGGGTGTGTGTGTGTGTATGTGTGCGCGCACACACACACATGCATGTGACAGCTCACCAGGCCCTTGGCTCTGAGCTCGCATTGTCTGTTGCTGCTTAGCGGATTCCTGGCTCGCATCCCACACCAGGATCATGGCAACCGGGAAAATGGTAGTTATCAAATCTAGGCCACGTTCATGCTCAGCCTCCTTTGCAAATTCCTTCAGCAAGCACTGATGGAGGGCCTGGGATCAGCAGGTGACCGCAGAGCCCTCCGGCCCCTCTAGACAGCGGATTCTGCTCCTTGCGTGTGCCCAAGCATCCCCCTGTCCATTCCCTTGGCGCCCACCATCTCTTCCGCTTGTTTCCTCTGCAGCTTCCCCTGCCAACACTCCCGGAATCCCTTTCCATAAGGCTCTGTGGTGATCACGGATTCATCTGTCTTCTTCGTTCCAATCCCTTTGTTAACATTGACACACATCATCCTCCTGGGACCTCTCCCCCCCCTCCCAAATCTACAACTGTGTGCCCACCTGTTCTCCCTTCTCCTAGAAATTAGCTCTTTTCCAAAGGCTGTGATTCCTGGCACTCTCCTTGCCTTGGGAGTGTACTGTTCAGATGTCCACCTGCTAGGTGATCCCAAATGCTTGGTGCTTTAGCCATTTGTGCCTCAGTTTCCCATTTTGCTGAAGATTTTACAACTCCTGCTGGATGTCACAGGGTTGCCGTCAAGGAAGTTTTTTAGCAAGGAGTAGTGTGGGAATTCACTCCATCAGACACACCACCCCGTGTCCCACCCTACCCCCTGTTCTTATGGCAGTTTCCCTGTGTTAGAATTTTGGGGAGTAGCACCCAGGAAACAAAGATTTTCCACAAGCTCACAACCTCAGAATTCCTCAGAGTCCCACTCACTCCCATCCTCCACCTCTAGTCAAACCCCAATATCACCAGATTATGAAATATTTCAGAGGAATTTCTCTTCTAAATCCAAAACACCAAGCTTATCCCCCAGGGCAACAGCAACACACTGAAACCTAGGCGCGAGTCCTTAGTACCTGAGAAAGGCCTTCAGTAGACCCAAGGTTACCTGTTGATTCGTATTGAGTGTGAAATTTTTTAACGCTTTTTAAGGAAAAGAGGATTTTGTAAGCGAACGGCACTAACGGCAGACTCCTTTAGAATCCAGCTTTCGGCCTGTTACGAGAGCAGAGTCGCATGGATTCGTTTGAGCTGTTTAATTTCCCTCTTGCTCCCTCCCACTCCATCCCTCACTTCCCTTCGTGTTACATCAATTCATGACCTCACTTAGCCAGAAATGGCCTTACAGGAAACAAAGGGCAAGCTTCTGCACTCCTTAAAAGCACAAGCTCATCTTTTTAAATTTTATATTGCTTTTCTTAAAGGGTCTTCATTTAAAATAATTAGCCCTATGAGCTGAAGGCCCCACAACCATGGATCTGTCTGCCCATGACCTTCAGTGTTGGTTAGCAAACTGCAGCATCAGAGGCTGTGGACAAGATGCTTGACATCCAGGAGTTGCTCAACTAAGCCCAGCCTTTCAGTGTGAACAGGAACCTGCTGGGGTGACTACAAAAGAATTGACTAAGATATCTACCATAGCAATTCTGCCTCTTAAGTTTATTCAAGTTCCACCTTGTTCTGAGACCCAAACAACTCTCATTTCTTAAGTGAAGTTATCTAGTAGGTAGAAGAGGGGTTCTATTGGGTAAGAAATGTGAAGCACCTATTCTCTCCATGCTCATCACTTTCATCACCCCACTCCTTTTTTTGCCCTCCCTAGTCTTATGCTCTTCTCCATTGCGTTTTCTTAGGGTTGACTTGGGTAGCCAATCCTGGGCCATGTCTTGTTGACTCGGGTAGCCAATCCTGGGCCATGATGAGCACATTCCAACATTCCCAACCTGGAACTCTTTGCCCCTGCATTTCTGGACCACATGCAACATGAACAGACAGCTTCAATTTGTACTCGTTGAAAATAACCAGGTGACATCATCATGAACCTACCAATTGATTGATCCTTTGAGTTTTCTAGGTTCTAATATGGCAGTTCTTTCAGTTTCCATTATACCCTTCTGCCATGCTCCACTTTGAGAAGATTTTCACCCCCTTAAGCTTTCCATAAGCACTTGTTGAGATCCTTCCATTGGATCAGACTTTAACAAGTGAGCAAGAAACACTACCTTCATGAACGT